ACTATTTTGGTAGCTTGGGCGTCATTCGAGCGGCACATCTTAGTCATAGACAATGAATGGGTATCGACCAAGAGAAGAAGGGTAGTTTTTCATTACCTTCCCTTGGCCATAATTCTGTGTTATGGAACAGTTTTCTATGGTGTGACTATTTTCTTTCCCTCATGTCAACATCATTTTCAGTACACAGAAGAATGGTGTTCATTACCGTGCTTATTCGGCAATCCAATTTTTCTTTTATATCACACAGTGGTCAATGAAATTCTACTTACTATTCTCATTGCTGTATTCAGCTTTATGCTACTTGTTCGTATCTTATTGGAGAAACGTACTCGTTTTCAACAACCGATTCAATGGCGTAAACATCGTAAGATGGCTGTCCAACTATTTGCAATATCATCTCCTTATCTCATTTTTAATCTACCTGAAATGATTGCTTCTCTTGCAAACCGGTTCGATTCAACATCCAAGAAGAGTATGACTTTTGAGCTATGGTTGCATTTTATCAGCTACTTTGCCGAAATACTTCTTCCGTTTATTTGTCTTCGCGCTCTCCATCCTAAACCATGGAATCGAAGACATCGATTAGTACGCACCGCAGCCATCACGCTTAGCCAGCCAACGCGTCGAGTTAATAATAGACAAAAGGATGATAATAATTGAGAAAAATGAATGTGGAAACGAATTGCATCTAAAAAAAACAAAATAACTAGAATAAAACATGAACATGTCAAACTGTGTAACAGATCATTCAGTTATTTTGAATGAATCGCACATTGTAAACCCCGTCCATTGTTAGCTTGTAATCATCATTGTACTACTATTTATTTAATTATATATTTGCTTAATTATATATTTGCTTAATTATATATTTGCTTAATTATATATTTGCTTAATTATATATTTGCTTAATTAGTGACGTATGTAGCATGTAATGAAAATAAAGCTGTAATACTTATTTGCCAGCAAGCTTCATATAGATTTCACGATTTGCACTAAGCAATGCACTATTCTTGAAAAGTACATATATTTTAAACTTGAAACTTGAATTCAATTGAAATTTCAAGTTTCAACTTTCAACTTTCAAAAAGATATAGAAGATATATGAGATACAGAAGTTATACGAGATATATGAGATATACGAAAGATCGACCAAAATCTATACTAATAACATGTCAACTGTGACGATACCACGATATACACATTAGATACATTTTATTTTGCCATCGACTAAAATGTATTATAAACATAAATGCTTTATTGACCAGCATATCCATAAGAAATCATAATGAACAACATTTTATTGTTATTGCCACTGAGGGTGTGAGTGCGGAAAAGGGAGTAAGGGGGAAACATGACTTACATCACTTGACACACACACCACGCAACCTGGTGTGGGTACGGAAAAAGGAGTAGGGAGGAAACACGACTTACATCACTTTAGACACACACACCACGTGACCAGGTGTGGGTGCGGAAAAGGGAGTAAGGGGGAAACACGACTTACATAACTTGAGACACACTCACCACGCGATCACAAGTCTTCGTAGAATATCCTCGAAACTCGATTATGTCCTAGGGTAGCGGTAGAGAGATAGACAGGTATAAAATATATAGGAGATGTATTTGATTTACGAGATATAGGATGGTATAGGAGATATAGGATATATAGGGATATCCTGATGTCACTTGAGAGTCTTTTATTGGAAACAACTTATGGATAATAACCAGATGTAGACCTGCGGTCTTGACTGTTCGAAATAGCGATGTTTGGACCATGGATCCATATAATATGCATTAGTACAAAAGATGCTTTTTCATAGAAGCTTTTCAATCTGTATGCGTTTTATTGGCATTTTTATCGATTTTCACTGTGATTTCGTCAAAATTACAGCAAAATATAGTTCTCACCGCCCATTTTTCACTCTGAAATGATCAGTATTTCTGAAGGCGCACTTGAAAAAAGAGGTTGAAGCAATATTGCATAAAATGATAATTTTACGGCGGAAATGGGTGGTTTGAATTATATTTTGGTGTAATTTGACGCTAAATTGATGTGAAAATTCATGAAAATCCGCATAAAGAAAAGTGTCAAAAAGAAAGCTCGTATAAAGACTATCTGCCGTCGTAGTTAACATTATAGGAATCGATGGCCCGAGCATTGGTCTTTCGAGTGGTGAAAACCGCAGGTGTATATGTAGTTCCTAACAAAAGTTATTCCTAATACGAGAGTGCCCGGTGACTTATGGGTAAGACTCTACCTTCTCTATCTTCTGTATCTTCTATACGTCCTATACCTTGTATAGTTTCCATACCTATCTATTTCTATATCTCTTACCCTAGGACATAATCGAGGTTCCGGGGATATTCTCGGAAGACATAATCATGCCAGCCTCTGAATACGTTACTGTGTGGTTTCCATAAGTGCATTTATGGAACATCGTAGCGTCGTCATCTTCGAGATAATGTAATTAATGGAGGAAAAGTTGGTGTCACTTCGCCTCTGATTTGGAAACGTTTTAATAGAAATTTGTTGTGGAATTTAGCGAATTTAGAATTTTATTTAGTTTGCGTAGGCTTGATATGTACTGCATAAGATTGTTCGCATGCCATATTGCTTTACTTTGTAGTTGTTCTTGTAAAAGATTGTTATATACGCATATAATTTATTCAATTTGTTCATTTCCATTTTCAGTTATTTAGTTATTTCTGCCTGTGGGTGTGGGTATGAATGATCTCAGAAGAACAGGCACTCACACCCACACCAGAAGCAAGTGTTACCGCTACCGAAACAGAAGATGAAGAAAGCATTGATCCTTCACCTTCTCGTGACGATGTTCCATCTGCGACGTTTTCACCTCCAGTACCAGCTTGAAAGTTGAAAGTTGGAAGTTGAAATTTCAATTGAATTCAAGTTTCAAATTTGACACTACTGCTTTTTATATGCAGGGATAGTACAGATGATGCTGTATTTTTCTATGCTATTCGATCATTATTCAGCTAATGTCATAATAATAAAATTATGATAAGAGCTATTTTTCTGTCATGTATGACAGTTACACTAATTCATTTTTAAAAGGCAGAGTGGATAGTTTTTGAATAACTTCTGATTGAAAAGAGATAAAGAGCTGTAGTTTTCATCGTTCGAAAGAGAGTGGGGGCATGAGTGTGAGGTGTGTGGATGTGGTCTTCAAACGAAGAATACGCCCATGCCCAACAATCACATCCACCCATATTCACACCGAAATCCTTCAGAAACATTTTTCTTCTTAGAAAAAAACCTTTGTCATTTTTAGTTACGATTTCAGAAAAAGAATTCCACCAATTGATACACAAAATGCAAATGAGTGGAAATGGAAAAGTGAATATTATATTTCTTGGAAAAACTTCATCATTTTTCTTTTCTTCAGGTTACTGTCATTGCTACCACTTTTATTCATAACGAGTATGTTTTACATTTTCATATATCTGCTCTAGTCTGTGATTTACTTGTAGTAGTCAAAACGTTTTTCAAAGCAATGTTCGTATTGTATTTGATTGAATATAATCTCTTTTTATATTTTTATCTATATCAGCTTATCGACACTTAATTGAATAACTATGTCGAGCATCTCTCGTGAAGACATCGAACGTATTTTTCGATAAAAATTTGCCAAACTAAGTCACATAGAAATTACTGGAAAGAAGAGTTTACTGCGGTGGTTGATGTATGTTTAAAGTATTTTATTGACTCTGGCACTTTACCAACATGCTATTCACACATAGTTCGATTCATCGACCTTGTCTCTAAAGGTGCAATTAGATCCGCAATTAGAAGAAGAATGAGCTCAGTGTTTGACGATGCAACGACATTTGACACCTTTCAAGCTACTCATGCAGCTATAGAAGATGTTTTGAGATGGATAGACAAAACGAATGAACAAGATTCAGACAAAATCGGTAATATTATTGATCAATATATACATTAGTGGTCATTTTATTTTGTTGAAGACTAGTACCTGGAAGATCCGTCTGCATTGAGACAGTTTGAACCAGATTTCTCATTTAGAAAATATAAACAATAAACTTGATATTGCCAAGGAAGACGCTAGCATTGAAAAAATTTTCAAAATGAGAATAAAGTTTAAATTTGTAGGTTTTATGCTTGAATAAATACCATTTACGCTGGTGACATTGAGTGTTCTGTTTATTTTGCGAGGGTGTGGGTGTAGATGTGGCTGCAATGACGAGAAGAAACGCCCACATCCTACAAAAGTTGTGGGTAGTCCCTTTCAATTGACATTCATACCAAAGGATAAATTCATAGATATTCGAATAAAGATATTTTCTCATTCTTTGTATAAAATAATCGATTTTAGATGGAAGAGAAGATCGCTGTTTGTCACAATCCTATTCGATCAATTCTTCTTCATCCATCTGGTTACTTGAATACTTTCACTGGATGCTTTAATTGCTTGGCACAATACGGCAATAAAAAATCTCATCTTTCATTGGGTTATCAGTTTTATTATATTGTACTTCGTTTGTTTATGTTGTTGTATGATAAAAGTATTTTTCGTTAGCTCATTTATTTGATAATTTACTGTTGTTTGCCACCATTGACTTCAAACATATTGTAATGATATAATAGAATAATACCTTTGTCATTCTTTGATTCTTTAAATTTAAACCTCTTCGCTTTAATAGTAGATATTGATTCATTTCTGGAGCAAAAACATCGATTGATTATTTTGTAGCAACGTATTTCTTTTTCTTTCTCCAAGATAATATGTAAATATGGATATTATTCTTGTACTCATCTATACACACACGCTTTTATTCATGACGGGACAGTTCATTTATGACCATGAAATCAGCAAGTTTTCCTTCATTATATAAGTTAACTACGAGTAAACATGTGTGAATGTGAATCATCTATGTACACACCCACGCTCATCCTTGCTCTCACTTTTAAGTAAAAACGAAAATAAACAATTATATTTAATCATTGAAATGCAATTTAGTTACAAGTAAATTTCATAAAAAAAAGAGAACAGATAGAAGAAAAAAATAACATAAGTAGTTGTTCTTGACATTGAAGATGAATTTAATTCGAAATAAACAAGTGCTATATCATCATTTTCATATGAAAATTTATCTGTTTTATTATTATATGTTGACAAAGTAAATATGATCATATTGTTTATTGATTTTTCTTGAAAATTTCTTGGTAATGTAAATAAATCCATTTGAGATATTTCATTAGTAAATGTTAAATTTTTTTCAATACCATTAGAACTAATTAAATTCAATGTATCTCTTATTTGTAAACGTATATAAACTTGTTCAGATAATGAACTTTTTAGAGTATAATTCATTTGAATTGTCTCACCAATTGATAATATATACGGTTGATTGGTTAATTCAATAGTAAACATTGTTGGTGAAATGATTTGTTTTTCAATGCGTTGAATTCGAATACCATTGGATAATTGAAGCATTGTTTGAATTCGAAATGCTTGTTGAGGAACACGAATTTTTGTTAATATTTCAAGTTGATCCAATTTCAATGGTGCATAACTTTCAATAACTTGACCAAATTGATTGATAAGAGAAATATTAGCATAAGTAAAGTTGACATTTTCGCATGTCGTCAAAATAAGTAAATCAGAATCAATTAGAGGTTCTGTTGTTAATTCTGTATAACCATAACTATCTACATTTGCTTCCATGTCTTTTTGCAAGCTAGACGAACATACAACACTTGATTTACCTTGAATTTGAACATTAAGATTAATTGATTGAGATAGTTTTGATGTTGTTAAACTCCATTCGCCAACATATGGTTTTAAAATTTTCCACATATACAAATGCTTTGTATTAATAACATTTGTAGTCAGTGAATATACTGAATTATTTGGTGTAAGCAATTCAATTTGATTGATGCCAGTTATTTCATCTATACAAAGAAACACTCTGTTAGAGCAATTCCTTTGGGATTAAAACGTAAGGTACAATGTAATTATTGTCACTAGTTACATGAATATTGCTTGATTAGATCTATTTCGGGACATTGCTTCAATAATAAACGGTCTGTGATGGGAGACGGGGGAGGGACGAAGAGGGTGTGAATTTCTACCCGATTTACTTTAATACTCCTTTCAGATCATAATTCACAAAATCATATTAGATTGATGAACTTCTTTTAAAATCATTGTTGAACGTGTATCACTGTCTGACTCACGTTAGGCTGAGGAAAAAAATTTGAACTTTGAGCCGGATCTACAATCTAAATATTTTACAAATAGAAAACATATTTAAAATGGTGTTTTCATTTAAAAGTTCTATATAAGAGTTGTTGCAAGTTTAAGAGAATAAGAATTTATGTGCTCAACTATGTTTTCTTCTACTTGACAAACTTTTCTTTATTGACTTTGGACAACGATATATACCGGATGAACTATCTGTTCAATGAAAAAGTGTACATCAGAACAGAAATAGAAACAAGAAAGCGTTGTAACAAATGAGTATAGCGTCTTAACTGTGACATATGAAGGACATATACCATTTGTTTTCAACTATGAAACGAAACGAAGAAAAAATAATTTATAAATTGATTTTTCTCTAGAGAAAGAGACAAATCGTCGTCCGAGTTAGGTGTGCTTAAGCAAAAAAAAAATATGCGAGCTCGGATCGGATCACAAAACTTTGACTCATGTCAAATACTGTCGTCTATCTTAAATAGTTATTTTTTTTTTCAAATAATTATACAAGAATCGCTAGAATAACGAAACAATTCGAAAAGATGATAAAACTATTCAATTAACCTGTTGATGATATATCAATATGAAGTTCATCAATCGATGAATCAACACAAAATGTAATTGATGTAGAATTAGATTTAAGAATAACTAAAGTTTGCAATCTTGTCCATTCTAATCGACGAAGTATAAATTCTAAAATGACAGATCGATCATTAACAGTAATAGGATACGTAAGACCGCCACTAATTGATGGTAGATCTGTACCATGATCATTTCCATCTAATTGATCAACAAGATCAATTTTCCTTTTAAGCAGAAGTTTTTTCATTTGTTGACCCAAAAATGAATAAATAACAACATGTTTATTTCGAAGTAAGGCACGTGCTTTATATTTTAGATAACTATCACTTGTTGGCGAATCAGTAAATGTATAAATAACTGATGAATATTCTGACTGTATCAATCCTTCGATAAGACTACTATAGTACATTCCACCTAATGCTGATGTATAATTTTCACATGAATTTAGTTCTTGAATAGCATCAGTTAAATCGTTTGGTTTACGAGAATTAATAATTATTTTCGCATAATCACTATTGAATAATATTAATATATAATTATGTGGAGCAAACTCTAATTGACCATATTGATTAACAATATTAATTGATATATCTTTAGCTAGATCAACATAATTACCAATTGAACATGATGTATCAATCGATATAATAAGACTATTTAAATTCTTTTTTAATGTTAAAAATAAAGCAAAAGAATCATCACCAATATCTTGTTGAAGTTGTGTTAAAATGTTTACAGTAGCTTTATAAGCCATACTTGCTGCTTGATAATGTAAATGACCATGAATAGAATTTAATTTATCTTTATTAATACCACCTGTTGGTTCATCATCTTGTGTACTATCAAAAGAACCTCCATGTGAACATTTTCCTTTTGGTTTAGATTTTTTAAATAAATTAAAACCAATTGGTATAAAATAACCACTTGTAAGTAATTTATTTTGACGTATATTTTCATCGAAATTTGTATTTATTTGACATTGTTCATCATTACAACTAATACATGTTCTCGTATTAATCGATGCAAATTCATTTTCTCGAAAAATTCTTTTACCAAGAACATCATTTGGTGATTTATATTCAAGTTCAATATAATTTGTATGACTATAAAAATCCTGTAGGTATATATATATATATATACAAAATGAAATAAAATATATCAATAAAATAACATATACTAACTTGTATTGTATGTAGCATTTCTCCGAATGTTTTACGTCCTTTATCATAATTATCGGATTTTATAATCGCATCTAATGTTGATTGATATCGCTTCATTATTAATTTTGATGCTCCAATAAACAATTCACTATCGAAATGACTTTCTTCTTTAAACATTTCTTTTAAATCTGTTTTTGTATTTGCAGAAGCTATTGTTTTAACTGTGATTGAATAAAGCCATGGATTAATACCTTTCATTTGAGAAGTTCTTAATAGACTTATTATACCTCGAACAATATTTCCTTGACATTGACCGTTGGTTTCATCAAATTTTGTATCTAAATAAGCTGTATCTACATTATATGTTGATTTCAAAAAGTCAAGTGTCACACGACAGAGTGCACAAATAGTCATGCCATAATGTGTCGTATCTTTATTCTCTTGACGAGATGATGCTAATTCTATAAAACCAGCATCGAATCCATAAATTAGATTCAACTTTAATATAATTAATAAATAAATAAATATAGACATTGCTTAATTAGAAGACATAAATGATCAAGTAATTTTTTGTTGTAGACTAGATCATACTCAAAATATTTTATCTTAAAAAGAAAATCGATATAATTATTTTTAATATTCTTTAAATGTAAACAAATACATTTTAATCGAGAGTTCATACATGTTTACAAAAACAGAAAGAATAAAATGTTTGGTGCGGGGTGTGGGATACTGGTGTCTTAGAAGCAGAATTATACCCACACCCTCAATACAGTTTGGAATGAGCAATCGTTCATGGCTCGATTTCATGACTTCTAGTTACGCGCTTACCACTTCTCCATAGAAGAGAAATGCCTTCAGTATCGATCATGTTAATTGGAACTCATGGTTCGTTCAAAAAATTTGTTCGCAAAAACTTTTGGTCGAGTTCTATAGAAAAAACTAACCAGATTGACTAATAAATATAGTGCCAATAGCTTAGCCAATTTTCACTTACTTAACATGTCTTTTTGAATGGTAAAACGGCAAGTTTCTAACTGCTTTCGTTGTTTAAATATTTTTAAGTGTTAAAATGAATTATTCATCCAAGCCAAGAACACTAATTTTTATAAATAAGACATGAAAAAGAGCGAAGTTCGTTTGTGCCACTTATTCATCAAATGCTGAAAACAAATGAATAATTGTAATTGCACAACTGCTCGATAATTTACCTTATTTAAAAAAAAAAATAAGTAAATGTTTATCTTATGAATACGATATCTTACCCAGTGAAAAATATTTACTGATTTTAATCGGATTTTTGTGAAACAAAATCAAAATTAAAATCGATTGATAATTTTGATTATTATTCATCGTGACTTAACTATTACGTGATATTGTTACTTNAAGTGCTACGTCATCATTTTCATATGAAAATTTACCTGTTTCATTGTCATATGTTGACAAAGTAAATATGATCATATCGTTTATAGCTGTCTTTTGAAAATTTTGTGGTAATGTAAATAAATCCATTTGAAATGTTTCATTAATGAATGTTAAATTTTTTTCCATACCATTAGAATCAATTAAATTCAATGTATCTCTTATTTGCAAGCGTATATAAACTTTTTCAGATAATAAACTTTTTATAGTATAATTCATTTGAATTGTCTCACCAATAGATAATATATAAGGTTGGTTAATTAATTCAATAGTAAACATTGTTGGTGAAATGAGTTGCTTTTCAATGCGTTGAATTCGAGTACCATCAGATAATTCAAGCATTGTTTGAATTCGAAATGCTTGTTGAGGAACACGAATTTTTGTTACTATCTCAAGTTGATCTATTTTCAACGGTGAATAATTTTCAATAATTTGACCAGATTGATTGATAAGAGATATATTAGCATAAGTAAAATTAACATTTTCACATGTCGTTAAAATAAGTAAATCAGAATCAATAAGAGGTTCTGTTGTTAATTCTGTATAACCACTACTATCTACATTTCCTTCCATGTCTTTTTGCAGACTAGACGAACATGCAACACTTGATTTCCCTTGAATTTGAACATTAAGATTAATTGATTGAGATAATTTCGATGTTGTTAAACGCCATGCGCCAACATACGGTTGTAGAATTTTCCACATGTACAAATGTTGTGTGTTCATAACATTTGTAGTCAATGAATATGCTGAATTATTTGGTGTAAGCAATTCAATTTGATTGATATTCGTTATTTCATCTGCACAAAAAAAAATTGCTGTTAGAACAATTCATGTGATATTAAAATGTGAGACGTAATGTAATTATTGTCACTAGTCATATGAATATTGCTTGATTAGATCTATTTGGAGACATGATTTACGGTTTGCGATGAGAAGGATAGGGGTACAAATGTTTACTCTGTTTACTTTAGCGCTTCTTTCAGATCGTAATTCACAAAATCATAAATATTAGATGGATGAACTTCATTTTAAACTATTGTTGATTGTGTATCAGTGTCTGACTCGGATCAAGTTGAGAAAGTTTACGGGAACAAGAATCTATGTATTCGATGATGCTTCTTCTACTTGACAAACTTTTCTTTGTTGACTTTGGACAATGATGCATATCGGATGAACTGTCTGTTCAATGAAACAGTGTATGTGCAAGAAGAAATAAAAACAAGAAATCATTTGATCCCATAAACATAGTGTTCTCACTATCAGATACGAAGAACATATCATTTGTTCCCAATTATGAAACCAAAGCACAAAATAATAATTGATAAGTTTTCTCTAGAGTAATAAACCACTAGTCGTCCGAGTCAGCTGTACTCGTAAAAAAAAATATATTCGAGCTCGGATCATATCAAAAACCTCGACTCATGTCAAATACTATATCGTCTATCTTAAATAAATATACAAGGATCACTTGAATAACGAAACGATTCGAAAAGATGATAAAAATATTCAATTAACCTGTTGATGATATATCAATATGAAGTTCGTCAGTTGATGAATCAACATAAAATACAATTGATGTTGAATTAGATTTAAGAAGAACTAAAGTTTGCAATCGTGTCCATTCTAATCGACGAATTATAAATTCTAAAATGACAGGTTTATCATTGATAGTAATAGGATACGTAAGACCACCACTAATTGATGGTAAATCTGAACCATCATAATTTTGATCTAATTGATCAATAAAATCAAGTTTATTTAAAAGTAAAAGTCTCTTCATTTGTTGACCCAAAAATGAATAAATAACAACTTCTTTATTTCTAAGTAAAGCACGTGCTGGATATTTTAGATAACTATCACTTGCTGATGTATCTGAAAATGTATACATAACTGATGAATATTCTGATTGTATCAATCCTTCGATAAGACTACTATAGTACATTCCATCTAATGCTGATGTATAATTTTCACAGGAATTCAACTTTTGAATAGCAATAATTAAGTCATTTGGCTTACGAGTATTAATAATTGTTGTCGCATTCGTATTATTGAATGATATTAATATATAATTATGTGGAGCAAATTCTGACTGACCATATTGATTAACAATATTAATTGATAAATCCTTAGCTAGATCAATATAATTACCAATTGAACATGATGTATCAATCGATATAATAAGACTATTTAAATTTTTTTTAATGTTAAAAATAAAGCAAATGCATCATTACCAATCTCTTGTTGAAGTTGTCTTAAAATGTTTACAGTAGCTTTATAAGCAATGCTTGCTGCTTGATAATGTAAATGACCATGAATAGAATTTAATTTATCTTTATTAATGCCACTTTTTGGTTCATCATCTTCTGTACTATCAAATGAACCACCATGTGAACATTTTCCTTTTGGTTTAAATTTTTTCAAGAAGTTAAAACCAAGTAGTATAAAATAGCCACTTGTAAGTAATTTCGTTTTGAGTACACTTTGATCGATATTTGTATTTATTTGACATTGTTGTCCATCACAACTAATATATGTTCTCATATCAGCCGATGCAAATTCATTTGCTCCAAAAATTCTTTCAGCAAGGACATCACTGGGTGAATCATAGGCTAGTTCAATATAATTTGTATGACTATAAAAATCCTTTAAATATTTATATATAAATGAGATAAAATGTTTCAATAAAATAAAATATACTAACTTGTATTGTATGTAACATTTCACCGAATGTTTTGCGTCTTTGATCATAATTATCAGATTTTAAAATGGCATCTAATGTTGATTGATATCTTTTCATAATTAATTTTGAGCCTCCAATAAATGATTCACTATCGAAATGACTTGCTTCTTTAAACATTTCCTTTAAATCTGTTTTTGTATTTGCTGAAGCTATTATTTTAACTGTGGCTGAATAAAGCCATGGATTAATACCTTTCATTTGAGAAGTTTTTAATAGACTTATTATACTTTGAATAATATCTTCTTGACATTGGCCATTAGCTTCATCAAATTTTGTATCTAAATATGCTGTATCTACATTATATGTTGATTTTAAATAGTCAAGTGTTACACGATAAAGTGCACACGTAGTCATGCCATAATGTATCGTATCTTTATTCTGTTGACGAGATGATACTAATTCTATAAAACCAGCATCAAATTCATAAATTATATTCATTTTTAATATAATTAAGTAATACATAAATAAATATAAGCATTTCTTGATTAGCAGATATAGATGATCAAGTAGTTTTTTTGTAAACCAGATCTTACTCAAAATATTTTTATGCTTAACATTCTTTGAATGTCAACAAAATTCAACCAACTATGGTCCTATCTATTCACAAATGATCCAACATTCGGTGACATTGGCGTTGAACTCAGTACGATACATTTTTATTCGTCGAATGTTCTGCTAACTTTCAATGCAAGCACCATTACTTGAAGTTTTAATTTTTAACTGATCAAAATTACAGTAAATACTAATCACGTTCCTTTTAATAACATAGTAAGCAAAATCACAATAATCATTAAAGAATACATAAACTGACCATCAAATCTGTCGGTTACTCTCATGTCTATTTCAGAAGATCGACTTGATTTTAATTTCATGTCAGACTCAAAACTTTCGAAAATGTCTCAACTGATATTTTTCAACCACAGCACTAACATAACTTGAAAACAAAGATAAACAACAACTTAACCATAAGACGAAATTTTCCATGTTTGAGTAATTCCTAGACTTCTATTGTTCGTGATTGTTTATGACCGTAACTTTTCAATCACTCTAATGTGATCACTCGACAGAGGTTATTAATACAATCGGCATGACGAAACGCGTTGTGGCAGCTAAAAGGGTGAGAATGTTTTTGATCACCATAAAAAGATACTTTTGATCACCAAATTTTCCTACAATTAATTTCGCATTATCTTTCTCAATAAAAGCTGTGGATATGGAATCTTCTGATCATCCATCCACACCCACACCGTTACGCATGCACGTCTTCACCCACGCCTACGTCCATACTCGCACCCATAAACATGCACCCAATAACTGTGATAATGTCAAGTGAATTGACCACACGTAACAGAATCCGATCTAATTGTAAGGTTAACATTTTCAAAAAAAATTGTTATGTACTTTTTCTACAGATTCCCAGAACCTAAACACTAAGAATCGGAATCATAAATTAATTAGCTTCTTCATATACTGTTTGCTTTGATCATACATTGATCTTTTTGATCACTGGAAACAGTGCTGAATATGAATGGGGCATTAAATGAGTTCTATAGAAGCATCCGAGAAAAGAAAATGAAAAATCGCAACTCGAAAAAAAATTGGTGATCAAAAGTACTGTTTTCTCAGCTAAAAAATCTTCAACTTACTCTCACGTCTAAAGATCATCATCAGACACAAGCGAATATAAAATTCTCTTTCTCTTTCTCTCCCTGTTTCTTTTATTATCGATTAAATATTTAACATTTATGACGATAAATACTTTTTAGATTCTAAACACAATATGAGATTCGATACAGCTACTACATTAGTTAACTACAAATAATATTTATTATAATTATCTTGAAATAGGATTACATTTCGCTTTATCTTCTTTTTCAACTGTTTGTACATAATAAAAGCATCGGCTGATTTTCGTGTACTCCATTCAGTATTGTGTAAAGTAAATAAACAATAGATTTTTAATATCGCTAATATGTATTGTGATAAAATGAAAAACGGTAAATAAATTAAATGAGAAGCTCTTGAAATCCAATGCGGAAAAAATTTAATAAAACGTGATATTAATATCCAACATATATATGAAACAAGAATATTCATCACTGACAACCTATATTCACCTATTTCAGTCTGTATGCATAATGAAACAACTAAACATAATCCCACTAATAATGTTAGCGGACTTAGACATTTGTCAAGCATAATCAAAATAATATACCAAGTCGATCGTCTACGCCAAAGTGAACGTTCCAAAACAATACTTCGCCAATCGGAACGCCAAGTGTTTCGAGTCCAACGCATGTATTGCTTTAAAAATGTCCAATCTGCTTTAAAGGTTGTTTGAATGCGAGCATCTGGACCAAACTGAATATACATATCCCATCCTCTTGCTGTTATAAATCTTGTTAAGAATTTATCATCTCCACTATGCAAATGAGAAGAACCATAAAATAATCCATGCCAATATTCATTTAAAAATTGAAAGGACATATCAGTAAATAATAAATAGCATACCTTTGTACTAACCAAAGTTTTTGACGCTAAAATCGGTGGTGATTCAGCTATAGAGAAATTATTGGATGATAATACTAATTCATTTACAATATATGCATCATCTGAATCGTGAGCCAATGTTTTAACAACAGGAAATAATTGCTTTAGTGTTAAGAGTTTTTTTTGTTCTTTTTGATCCAATAGTTTTCTGCAATATTCACTAGTTTCATTATACATATCCGGTAAAAATCCTTTGGAATCAGCTCCAAACATATTCGGTGAATATGGTCCATTATTTTGATTAGGTTTAAAAATACAAGTTCGATACATTGCTGTACGTCCTGATAAACATGTCACTCCTGTCCCTAACAGTAGACATGAAGCATTTTCTAATGTTTTAGCAGTAAGTCGAAGATCGGATAAAACTTCCCAAAAGTTCGGTCCTTTTATTAGATCATTAGGTCGCATACGCTGTTCGGTGCCTACACCGCCAATATTCGGATTATCAAAACAAGCAATCATTCGGACTAAGCAATTGTCAGGCCAAATAGCATCATCATCAGCAAAAACCACGAATTCCGTTTCAGTTCTAATCAAACCGGTAATCATCTGAGATCTTTTATTTGGTACATCAACGGATAAAATAATCATATTTGTCTGAAAAGTTTCATATTTCAAATGTAAATCGAAACTGTTTGTGTTTAAATATTCCATTGTTGTTTCTGAATTATTATTTTGTGTATTTAAATTTTTTTTTACCAATTCTTGTTTTTCACGAAAGTTTTCTTCAATTTGAGATATGAGTGATTTTAGTATTGGTACATTTGTTCCTAACGTTACAAGAATTATTTGTTTTGGTCGATTTCTTAACCAAGAAACGATTGCATCATTTAATTCACTTCCTTGATCAATTGTTGGTACAACAATTGTAACATCTCTCTCAGGTATATAGTTCGATGACTTGAAATATCTTCGAATATAATTTTGTTTTAATAAAAATATTCCTCCAGTAAGTGCTTTTATACAGAATACAAGCCAACGATAGGCTCCCATGATGCCCAATGGTAAAAAGAAAGGCAATTGGTTTTTTTTCCATGATGAATGAAATTTTGAATTATTTGCTCTGTTTGGAATAATATTAAATGGTGGCGTGAGCAATAACCATTGAGAACTTGATGGATTTAAAGGTTTTAATATATCAGCTAATACATAATATTTAATTGGATAAATTAAGTTTCCTATTAATCTATTATAATCATCTTGAAAATCATAAGCTTCAGAAGCTGCTCGTAATAATGGAATAATATCATTTAATTTACGAGGAATAATTTGCGTATAGTTCCAAGACTGATTAGCAGTATTAGGAAATTTTGATTGTAAATCAATAGGAAAAATATTTATTGGTAAATGGTTTATTAGAGTATTGACAGCGGAAATCCAACTAATATTAGAAAAACGGATTATATTAAATATCGTTGGAAAATTCGTTTGAATATTATCATTCATGTCATGTATTGAAATAAGAGACTTTAAATGAACTTCATTTATATTTGTTAAACCAGAATATTCGTTTAAATGTTTAGCAATAATACCTAATCTTCCATAAGCTTCTAAATTAAAGCATGAATAATGCCATGAATTTTTTCTTTCCACTTCTAATGATTGAAGACCATTTACATCAATTTGTCTCGATATTAATGTACGTGTGTCAAATAAAATATTTTTTATTATCTTTAAATTTCCTAAATATAATTGTAATGATATTATTTGAGCGTTATACCAAGTATGGTGATTATTTTCACTGTCGTATAACTGCACACCTCGACCGGAGTTAGATAACCACAACAAATAATCTTTAAACCAATTTTTCATTCCATGATTAATTAGCGTCATACCATCGAACTTAGCCAATAAACCGAATGAATCAATTAAACGTGTAAGTTCTCTTAATTGAATAATACCGAGATATGATTCATATTCATATGCGCCCGGTACAACGTGACTATATTGCATATTTGGATACATTAAAGTATCTTCATTTAAAAACCAAATTTTTATTAATTTCATCGCATATTCTGAAAAAAAATTTTTAGGTTTATGAGGAAAAAAGTAAAATGCAGCAGTGCTTAACCATTTAACACAATTAACCATTCGAATAAAATATTGAGCATCAGTGATATTATAAATTACTGGATTAATGAAATCATCCATACGAACCCAAGGTAATTCTTGAGGATTTAAAGGACTGATAAGAGTTGTATTAGGCCAATAATACGGAGCTAATGAATAAAAAAAATGTTTATCACCATTGGCTCTTTTAGCAGCATACTGTTTGTCCATAACTGAATAAGATATATTCGTTCGGGGGTTTATTATTTTAAGAGCACGTTTATATATTGATTTGAATGCTTTAAACCAATAAATTTTATTATAATTAACGTGTTTTAACCAATTTAAAGTTTTTTCGCTTATTATATTAATCGAATGTTTATGATTTTCTGATGAGTTATTTTTATTTTTATTTTTGATTAATGTTGTAGAAAATAATTTAGATAATGTTTGAATATCATATGAATTTGGATTTAGGTCAAATGGAAAATCATCTTTTTTATTATTTGGTATTAAAATTGATTGAGCAATATATTGATTAAATGCCTGAACACTTGGATTTAATAAATATATTTGTGGTAATTCAATTTCAAATGCATTTGAAAATTCGAATAAAACTATATTCACTAATAGAATGTTAAACAAAATCATGAGTAGATAATTCATATTAATAGGATATTTTAACGAATATGAATTTGTACTTAACGGACATAAATTTATTGATTTGAATAAATCTAATGAGTTTTAATCAATTATGTCTCTCTGAGAATATTATACTAAAGTGAGACAATCAAAAGAGTATTGATATTAAAGTGTCTGGTTCAATCCAAAGAGTATTGATATTAAAGTATATGGTTCAATGAAAACAGTGAAAAGTCAAAGACTAGTGATGACATTATATATTTTGACATAGAATATTTCTGACTATAGCTTGCACAGTGATATAAAAACGAAATTTTTATCATTTTGTGGGTTACATGACCTTCATATCGATGAAAATGTGACAATATCAGATTTTCATCTGATCTACTGATAAGTGATGAAAGCAAAGGTCGCCAAATACTGCAGATAATAAAACTGATTTCATTATGTGCTCACATAGCCAAAGTTTTTTCTACGGTGTAGGCAATGCCAATTTTCAGTGCAATTTTTGTTTGGTCTTTTTTATACATCGTTTGATAGAGTATGAATTGCTGATCACGAAAACCACTTTTTAGCGTTAACGAATACGTTTTTGAGGTCGAAAAATACGAAAAACTTGAAGGTCATCGTTTTTTACGAAAAACACACCTGTTTCAATAGGTACTGAATTTTCTCCTTCGTTCTTTTTTTCTCCATCTTCTGAGAATATTTTTTTAGGCGTAGTATTAAAAACTAAGTATAAAAAATGTTAAATTGGCTATAACTTCAAAACTCGATAGATTTATTTATGAAACCGACCTATACGTATCGCAATTGGCACGATTCGAAGCGCCACCATCAAAAAAAGTTTTGCAGTTATAGATAATTTAACATTTTGTATACTTAATTTTTAATACTGAACCTGAAAAAATGTTCTTAGAAGATGAAGAAAGGAGCCAAGCAGAAAGTTTTGCACATTTTGAAAAAGATGTTTTTCGCAGAAACGAAACCCTTAAAGTTTTTCGGGTGTGAGCGGATATGGATATGGGTGTAGATGAACGATGAACATACCCACACCCAAAAAAAAGACCATTAATGACAGGAGGTGGGGTGAGACATCTAGTGTTGACTAACTCGATACCAGTGAGCTGATTTGATGTTAAAATGGTGCATACCTTCTAAGTTTAAATCCCCGATTGCGCGGATACATTGATATACTTGTATTTCTCTGTCGAAGGTCGCTGGTCGAATCACTAACTTTCTACGATGCTAACAAGCGACAATAGCAACACACAACTGGAGGGAGAATTGAGAGAGAAACACGCGAAACAGACTCTACCAGTCGAATGACAAAACGAAGAGAAAATGCTCGTTGAGCTACATGACATCAGTGTGATGAGATTTTACGTGTCACAAGGATGTCTAAAAGTCGAGAAAAGTGAAGAAGCAATATGTGAACGATTCCTAGGAGAAGTTCGTTTGTATCATTAAATTGGAAGGATATTGGCGCCTTCATATGTGAGAAAATAATCGAATGTGAGGAATTCATCATGTTACATGGTGCATGATGGCCAACAGAACAGAAGAAAAACAGAAACTCTTCGTCGATCAGAGTAGTCGGTTGGTTTCTAGAGAGATAATCAATATT